TTTAAGATTTTTGTATATATCTATGCATGGTGTAAATTTGGCACATTGTGTACCTCTCTCTCTTCAGTATTTGTAAAAAAATAAAATAAAGAAAAAAACAATAAAATGTTTGGAGTAACTTTCTCCAGCCCTTCCTATCCAGACTGTACTTGTCCTATAAGCACAGTAGATATTTGACGTCATGAAGCAATAAGGATAATGTAACTGTTAGCTGCAGGAATATTGAACATTATCTACAAGTAAGACAAATGTATCCTAAACAAGTGACAATGACTTTTGTGTTTATAAACATACTCCAAACCTTCTTCATGTGCATCGCGATATGCCACAAACCCCATGGCGACGATGTGCACATGACTGACAGAAACCCATTCCATGACATGCCCATTTTATATTGTGTGTTATACCTGTTTATAAACAGGTTGTACACATGTGTCAGTAGCAGTTCGCTTCAGCTCATGTGTTGTGAAGTTAATAGACAGAATTCAGTGTAGAGAGGTGAGTCGGAGAGCTGTGCATTGCTGAGTGTGTGTGAGCTTTACCTGCTCTCCCGTGGGCTGCCAGTACACAGCTCTCCCAGTCCCGGGCTGATGCTCCATGTGCTGCTCGCAGAGACGCTGCGGGATGAAACTCGGCTCGTAGCCCCGCCCCTTTCCACTCCACTTCCTCATTCCAGTGTAACATGACTGCACTCCACAGCCTGGCATCCCCTGCTCTGCTCTGCCACACTGCCCGCTTCCATTTAATAGGGGACCCGCCTGCGTAAGCCATGAGGACACAAGAGGCTGACTGGTAGCTGCTGACGGCTTGTCAGATTAGAACACACCCTCCCCTGTGCACACTTCTGGACATTAATGAGATGACAGCAATGACATCCAGCATAAATACACCTTACTTTTCTCATTCTACTATGTAGATAGTCATAAAGGAAAAAAATAATAATGAATCCACACACACATAAAAACAAAAAAAGTGCATTTATTATTTTTTTGTTTTTGTATTGGAGGTTTCAAAGCATTGCCAGCACCATTAGAGGATCACGGGTGCAATTGTCAGGCTTCTGCAGACTATTCCCTCCAGCGCCTGTTTGTACCAAGGGATTGTAGGAACTGTCAATGGACTACAATTGCAGTGTCACCACACTTGTACTCCATTAAGAAATACAAGTCCCTCTGCCACTGTGGCAGTCTTGTGGTCTTTTCATTCACAAATCCTATGTTTGAGGGGCTGTAAAGCTGAACATGTTTCACCTGAGTATACTGTAGGTGGAACATGAAACATGTTCGGAAAGATGGAGTTACTTCGTTTTTGCAGATGAATAAAGACGCAGGTCCATCCAGTTCAATCTGTGTGTCATACATACAGTACTGTATGTATGATTCACTAAAGCCGGCCATACACTAATATATTTCCAAACGAATGTTTGTATGAAAGATCTGTCATTACCCCCTGATAAAGCCATCAGACACTTGACGAATGTCGGTTGAAATTTCGTTTGATTTTAGCATTCAAGTTTGGAATGAATGGAGTTTACCAAATGAAACCCACATTCACTGTTACAATTTTGTTAATTTGAGAACAATTTCCATCCTGCTCCTTCGTGTTTTTTCATCACTCCATCAATCCTTGATTTGACTCCATCAACTAGAAGAAAGCAGAATGAACATTCTTTCGTACGAAGTTCTTTCAAACATCTAACCACTATGGTGGTTTTTCCTATGTTCAATAGATTGAAAAAATGTGTATATGTACAATATATAGATATATATCTATATAGATATAGATATATATCTATATAGTATATATATATATATACCGTATTTGCCACCGTACAAGGCGACTGGGCGTATAAGACGACCCCCTACTTTTTGTGTTAAAATATAGGTTTTGGACTATACTCGTCGTATAAGAATCCTCGTGTCCCACAGTGTGTGCCCAACGTGCATGCTCCCGGCTGCGTGCGTTCACCTCCACTGTGTCTCTCCTCTTCTCCCCGCTGAAGATCTCTGCTGCACATGCGCCCGCTCTCATACTCCTGCACGGCTGCTCGAGAAGCTGCAGATCTTCAAACAGGAGCGAGCAGCAGAGTCAAAGGCAAGTTTTTACCTTTTTGGTAGCTTTTTAGTTAGTGTAGAAAATGAGAGTTTAATTCTGCTTTAAAGGAGAACTATGGGGTTAAGTCTTTTCCCCATAGTTCTCCTTAGGGTAACGGGAGGACACAAACTAGCGTCCTCCCGTCACCCTAAGCTACTGCTCGCGGTATACTGAGACGCCGCAGCTGAAGCGGATCCTGACAATTATGTCTGGATCTGCCCAGCTGCGTGAGTGACAACTGGCTCTGCCTATCTAGAGGCAGAGCCAGCTGTACCCGCCGTGTCCCCCCCCCCCTCTCCGATACGC